CACATGTGGTTGTACCACCCAGTCTAAGGCAAGGGATGACAATGACTTTCTAGGTCTCTCCCCCAACCCCCAGCACAGTCATGCTGTGTTTTGTGGTCGCTACTCATGTTATTTTTTGAAATAGAAATGTTTGCATCTCCTTACATGATATTGGTTTTTCCCTGCCTTGTATAAATGGAAGCAGGGCTGCTGAGGTGGCTTAGTGGGTAAGGTGCTCGCTGCACTAACCCGGTGACCTGAGTTCAAACCCAGGATCCCATGATAGAAGAAGGGAATCAGGTTTGGGTCCCAGCACCCATGTCCTGTTCCAGGGAATCTGACACCTCAGGCACTCACACTCACAGATCCACACCCACACTCACACTCACAGACTCACACTCACAGACCCACACCCACACTCACAGACCCACACTCACACTCACAGACCCATGCTCTCACTCACACACATACCCACACTCACATGTACACACCTACACACTGACATACACATAAATCAAATCAAATATTCAAAAGAATAAGACTGGAAGCATACTGTGCACATTTCTCTCAAAATTATGTTTCTGAGGTTTATATACCATCACACTAGTGTTTGCAGTTTGAGCCAACCCTCAGCTCCTCAGCTCCACCAAACTCCACATTGCGCTAGTACAAGAACAAGCTCAGGGCTGGAGAGAGGGCTCAGAGGTTAAGAGCACTGGCTGCTCTTCCAGAGGTCCTGAGTTCAATTCCCAGCAACCACATGGTGACTCACAACCACCTGTAATGAGATCTGGTGCCCTCTTCTGGCCTGCAGTCATACATAATTAATAAATAAATCTTTTTTTTTTTTTTTTAAAGAGCAGACTCAATATTTCATTTGAGCCACCTCTCTGTGTGACACTGTGTGACCGTGCTACAAATCATCTACATGTGTCTACACGGTGTGACTGTGCTACAAATCTACACGTGTCTACACTGTGTGGCCGTGCTACAACTCATCTACACGTGTCTACACGGTGTGACCATGCTACAACACATCTACACGTGTCTACACTGTGTGACCATGCTACAACACATCTACACGTGTCTACACGGTGTGACCGTGCTACAACTCATCTACACGTGTCTACACGGTATGACCGTGCTACAACTCATCTACATGTCTCGATGGACATATGGCTCGTTTCATCCTTGAGCTGTGTAAACGTGCTGCTATGAACATCCTGGGGCTGTTCCTGCCACACTTGTGCAAATGTTTCTTCAGGGAACACACCTGGAAGAGGAACGTTGGATCAAGGGCATATGGCTTTAGGAGATCATGCCAAATTGTTTTCCAAAGTGGTTAGAGTGATTTACGTTCCACCAACAGCGGGGAAGCACCTCAGTTGTCTGACTTTCAATTTCGCCAATCCGGATGGCATCAGATGGAATTTCACCGTGGGTTTCATTTGTACTGTACATGGGCTTGTGAATGTCTCAATACCGCACTGGCAGAAACTATCACGTGACCAGATGAGACTCTGAACTCTGAACTCTACACTCGGGTTTTAGCTGTCATCCATTAACATTTACAGGTTGTTGATACCGTAATGAAACATTCCTGTGCAAATTCTCTGGGTAAAAGTTAAACACAGTCGAAACTTGAAATAATAATTTAGTACAAGCCCCATGTTGCTGAATGCTAGAAACTATAGACGACCAAGTTATGAGTGAAGAAAGTAGTTTGTAGGCTGGGATGTAGTTCAGTAGAAAAGCATTGCTCCACGTATAGTTGCCTGGGCTCAATCACTACTAGGATGGGAAAAAAGAGAATGATTCTCATGGACATTATGCCATTATCTATTTATTTTAGTGAAAATCATAAGGGAATTGAGAGAAAAAGGGAGTCCTGTCCATCTAGTTCATACACCCTGTCTGCCGCCATAAAGGACTAAGAAAGAGGGTGTGGATCACTGTGGGTCCGAGCATTTTGTCCCTGATTCAGAACTTGGGACGTAGTGGTGCTATTAGGGTTTAAGTAGAATTACCTTGGTACAGGTGAGGGATTTCCAGCGAGGAGTTAATCAAGGAATTTCTTCCCTAAGACGTCACTCTGGATTGTAAACCTGCCGATTGATTAAAAAACTAAACCGGAGCCGGGCGGTGGTGGCGCACGCCTTTAATCCCAGCACTCGGGAGGCAGAGCCAGGTGGATCTCTGTGAGTTCGAGGCCAGCCTGGACTACCAAGTGAGTTCCAGGAAAGGCGCAAAGCTACACAGAGAAACCCTGTCTCGAAAAACCAAAAAAAAAAAAAAAAAAAAAAAAAAAAAAAAAAAAAACTAAACCGGGACCTGTCCTTAGTGCATGAGCTGGCTGTTTGGAACCTGGGGTTTATGCAGGGACACTTCGCTCAGCCTGGGAGGAGGGGACTGGACCTGCCTGGACTGAATCTACCAGGTTGAACTGAATCCCCAGGGGAGTCTTTGCCCTGGAGGAGATGGGAATGGGGGGGTGGGGTGGGGGGAAGGTGGGGGTGGGGCGGAAGGGGGGAGGACAGGGGAATCCATGGCTGATATGTAAAATTAAATTAAATTATAAAGTAAAAAAATAATAAAATCATTAAAATTAAAAACTAAAACTAAGCCCGAACTGACCTACTCTGGTGATGGGATGGCCAAACACCCTAATTGTTGTGCTAGAAACCTCATCCAACTACTGAGGGATCTGGATGCAGAGATCCATGACTAGGCCCTGGGTGGATCTCTGGGAGTCCAATTAGCGAGAATTGTTGAGACCAAGGTTGGATAAAGCACAGGGACAAATAGCCAAATGAATGGAAACACATGAACTATGAACCAATGGCTGAGGGGTCACCAACTGGATCAGGCCCTCCGAATGGGTGAGACAGTTGATTGGCTTGATCTGTTTGGGAGGCATCCAGGCAGTGGGACCAGATCTTGTGCTCATTGCATGAGTTGGCTGTTTGAAACCTGGGGCCTATGCAGGATTGTTTGGCTCGGCCTGGGAGGAGGGGACTAGACCTACCTGGACTGAGTCTACCAGGTTGACCTCAGTCTGTGGGGAAGGCTTTGCCCTGGAGGAGATGGGAATGGGGGGGGGGGGTTGGGGGGAAGGTGAGGGGGACGGGAGGGGGGAGAACAAGGGAATCCGTGGCTGATATGTAGAACTGAATTGTATTGCAAAATAAATTAAAATTAAAAAAAAATAACAAAAAAAAAAACCAACTAAAACTAAAACTAAACTTAGTAAAGAGGCCACAACTTCATTGTGCTTGAGCCAAGAAACATGCTCCAGAATAAGCCAAAGGTCCAAGAGAAAATTCAACGGCAAATGGGCAAGAAGTCAGGCGAGCTGGTGGGTCTGTCCTTGAGGCAGAGCTGCAGGAGTGTAACCTCCAAGCACGTGGCTTAAGGCTGAGAAGAGACTGGACCCGGTGGGCTAGACTCGAGATGAGGCTGAGCAGGACAGTGGGAGCTGGCTGGGTGCACTTGGAGCTCTCAGAAAGGAGGCTGAGATGAATTCTACTTAGGGGGATGTGTGGTATAAATTTACGTTTTAAAACTACTTTCTTTCTCTCAGACAAGGTCTTGCTATGTTGCTCAGGCTGACTTTGAACTCACAGTGCACCCTGTGCCAGTCTCCCAAGTATTGGGGATTATAGGTGCACACGAACCTTACAAATTTACCCTTTCAGAAAGCACTCTAGAGTAACTATCAAGAATTTAAGGGGGGGGGTGGGGGCTGGAGAGATGACTCAGAGGTTAGAGCACTGGCTGCTCTTTTAGAGGTCCTGAATTAAATTACCAGCAACCACACAGTAGCTCACAAACATCTGTAATGAGATCTGGTGCCTTCTTCTGGCCTGCAGGGACACATACAGGCAGAACACTGTATATATAATAAACAAATAAATCTTTAAAAAAGAAAAAAAGAATTTAAAGGGGGTTGGGGAAGATGTGTACTTCCACGGGACCCAAGTCTAGTTCCCAGCACCTACTTAGCAGCTAAATCCAGGAGATCCGATGCCTTCTTCTGGCTTCCATCGGTACTGCATGAATGTAGTGCACAGATATACAAATAGGCAAAACACCCACACACATAAAATAAATTAAAAAAAAGAATTTAAGCGTGTTTCCATTTATGGACTATATAATTCTATGTGGCCAGTAAGTTGGGTTTTTGTTGATGAAAGGAGATTTGTTCAAATTGTTTCAAGAAACACAGGAGGCTTTGCAGGTAAGGTAGCATCCCAGCCAGGCAAAGGCCCCAGTTGTGGAGCAATTGCCCCGGGGCAGCAGGTTCTCCCGATGCCTTTACTTAAGGACTCCGCTACACTCTTCTGATCTCTGCTTCACATAATTTAAAACAATTTTTTTTTTATTAAGTATCCACATACCCAGTCATCTGGCAAACCCAAGTCCAGATAAGGGGACCTTGATTGGCCAGGTTGGCTGCCCTTGGAGATCCTCCGTGACCCAATCAGCGGAGGCGGAGACCGCCCCGCCTCCAGCTGCTTACCGCCGTTATCCTGGTACAGCAGTTACTTTTATGCTCAATCCAGGACTGGCAAGCACTGTGAAGGACATCGTTAAAAAGGGAATCCAAGAAAAAGATGGGGACCCAGAGGTGCTTTAAAATGCTCCTACAGTCCGCGCGCGCGCACACACACACCGCATCCACAGCGACATGATGATAATTATGGGTTGTCTAAGTGTGCAGTGCAACGATAAGCAGCGATTGGCATGACTTTGAAGAGTATTGAAGAACACGGGGGAATGCTAATAGACGTCGTTTGAAAAAAGATAGGCTATAAAACTATATACAACATGATCCGAATTTTCTGAGAAAAAAAAATTGCTCATTTTGTGTTTAGTCTGTAAGGGAAAAACCAATGGGCTGGCGGTGTGGTAGCTGTTGGTATAAAGATCTGAGTGTGGTCGGGGTAGGCCTGTAATCCCATATACTGAGGCTGAGGCAGGAGGATGGCGGCGGGAGTTCTGCGCCAGCATTTGTGACATTGTGAGACTCTGACTCAAAGCTATTTGCTCACAGCTTTCGGACGTTACTTAATGAAAAGCTGCCTCCTTTTCACCAGGCGACGCGTTCAGAGGTCCCCCTCTCTTTGAACCGGGCTGGGGCTGCGGCTTCCAGTGCGGTCACCGCCTGGGCGGCCTCGCTCCGCCCTTCGCCGGTCGCCCCGCTTCCGGACCCGAGGCCGCGCCCTCGCCACCGCCTTCCGCCCACATGGCTCCGCTGCGCTTCTCGGCCAACGTTTCCTGGCTGTTCCCGGAGCTCCCCGGGCTCCCCGAGCGGCTGCAGGCCGCGGGCCGTGCGGGCTTCGAGGCGGCCGAGGTGGCCTGGCCGTACGCCGAGCCGCCCCAGGCGCTGGCGAGCGCCGCCCGGGCCGCGGGGCTGCGGCTGGTGCTCATCAACACGCCGCGGGGTGCGCACCGGGGCGGGGAGCGGCAGGGCTGCGGGGAGCCAAGCCCGTGCTGACGCTGGTTCTCTCCGCAGGAGACCAAGAGAAGGGGGAGATGGGGCTGGGGGCCGTCCCCGGGAGACAGGCGGCCTTCCGAGAGGGGCTGGAGCAGGCTGTGCTGTACGCCAAGGCTCTGGGATGCCCCAGGTACCCTGGCCTGCCCTCCCTTGACCGTGGGGCCGGGTCGAGAGAAGCTCGGAGCGGAGACACCGCTGTGGGCTAGGGTCTTTGGAGACTGCTTTTTGTATTTCTTCTGTTAGTGTCATTCTGTATGCCATGTGTCCAGGCTCATCTCATACCGGGATCCCATGATGGGTGTTGGGGTCTGATGAGGGATTTTAACAAGGACGAGAAAGCTGGGAGCTGGGTGGGGGTGGGGGTGGGAGGCGGGCAGGGCGGGCAGGGCGGGCACCTAACCCTGACTAGAAGAAAGCTGTTTGCAGATAATGATGCAGGAACTGAATCTGGCAGGCTCACACATCCACTTTATAGGGAGAGCTACGCTTGCTATTCAGGCAAGGAGGCTGTCTGGGCCAGAGGAAGGTTGTGTCCAGTTGAGTTAATGAGGCGAGGGGTGGTGAACCCTGAGTTCCAAGGGTCTGACCGCCTGCAGGGCCTGCAGGAATTTGGATGTTGCTGAGATGAGGAGGTGCTGTGATGCAGTCTCAAAGTGGGATTAAGGGAACAGGAGTCAATCCCAGAGGTGAATTAGTGCTGGGAAGCAACTGGCAGCAAGAGGCTTATGATTGGTTAGCAGTAGGGGCAGAAAACATTGGGGAAGAGGCTAAGAGGTAAGGAGAAGCAGCAGCGTTAAGCAACATGGACTGTCTAGAAAGGGCAAGGGTCAAAATCACTTTTAAAAGGTGAGCCTCAGGGCTGGAGAGATGGCTCAGAAGTTAAGAACACTTGTTGCTCTTGCAGAGGACCTGGGCTGGGTTGCCAGTACCTACATGGCAGCTCACAACTGTCTGTAAATGCAGCAACAGTAATCCAGTAACACCTTCTGACCTCCAGGGGCACCAGGCACACACATGGTACACATAGACACATGCAGGCAAAACACTCATACACAAATACATTTTTAAAATCTGAAAACAAAACAAAACAGTGAGCCTCAAGCATGCTTAATGAGCTGAGCAGGAACAGGGACAGGAGACGTTCAGAGTCCAGGAGGGAATAAGTGATAGGCAGAGGTCCTGATGGCGACTTGCCTTGGACCGACACATAAGTGTGGGAGGCTGCTAGGATGCCTGGGCATCATGCCTCAGATGATCTGAACAGAAGATCTGGGAAGTTGGGGTGAGGCTGGTATAGTCAGAGGACATCTAGAAGATGCATAGGGGATTGAGGGCATGAGCCCTCCCCACCACCTTCTCTACAGGATCCACCTGATGGCTGGCCGAGTACCCCAGGGGGCTGACCGAGCTGCAGTCAAGGGTGAGATGGAAACAGTTTTTCTGGAGAACCTGAGGCATGCAGCTGGGGTTTTGGCTCAGGTAAGAGGTGGAAACACATAGCTGACGTGTTGGGGAGAGATGGGGTACATAGTCGGGACAGTAGATGAGGGACAAAGCTGAGCAAGAGCACAGGTCAGAGGAACAGATGAGGTCGCTGATCAGTGACAGACAGGGACAGATGTGGGGAGGAGCCCTGACAGCCTCCAACATGGTTCTAGGAGAACCTCGTGGGCCTGCTGGAGCCCATTAACACCCGCATCACGGACCCCCAGTACTTCCTGGATACACCCCAGCAGGGTAGGCCTCGAGTCCTATGCCACCTCCTATCCCTCTTCGATTCACGTTCCAAAGCCTCATGGCTTTCTCCCTGGCTTTCCCCGCAGCGGCAGCCATCTTGCAGAAGGTCGGGAGACCAAATCTTCAGTTGCAAATGGTGAGTGGAAGACCGGTGTGTCTTCAGGTCATGACTTCCAGTCTGGGGAGAACTGTGGAGGACACCCAAGGGTTCTGACTGGCATTCTCTTCCCTAGGACATATTCCACTGGCAGATCATGGATGGGAATCTGACAGGAAACATCAGGAAGTTCCTGCCCATTGTTGGTGAGGGCTCCCCGTCCCAAGCTCCTCCCGGGCTGATGCTGTGTCTTATGCTTGCTTCCCTTTCCACCCCTGTCCCATCTCTCTCTTCATCTGTCCCCAGGGCATGTGCAGGTGGCACAGGTCCCAGACCGAGGGGAGCCAGGCAGCTCTGGAGAGCTGGACTTTTCTTACCTGTTCCAGCTGCTAGAAGATGAAGGCTACCAAGGATTTGTGGGCTGCGAGTATCGGCCTCGAGGTGAGGCTTTGGGAAGGGGACATTGGAGGGATGGAGGTTGGACAGGGGCTGTCCTTTCCCTTATGGGTTGAGATGGCATTGTCTCTCTTTTACTGCAGGAAACACGGTGGAGGGTCTGAGTTGGCTACGTTCATACTGGGACAGACAGGGCCACCCACGGACTGGCCAGTAAGGTTCTACAGAGCACCTGGATGCTGCTCTGGGGCAGCGGATGAGTGTCCTGAGGCTCCTCCTCTGAATTAAAGACACACTGAGTGTTTTCATATGTGTGTATTACAGGGGTGGGGGACACATAGTGTCTAATGCTTCAGTGTCTCTGAGTTAATTCCCTCCTACTGAGAAGGGACACACAGCTCAAGCTCAAATCCTCCAGTTGGTGCCAGGGTTACTCTGGCTACAGAGAGCTCCTGAGCCCTCCTTCTTACCTACAGACAGGAATCAAAGGTCCCCTGGGGGGTGGGGTGGCAAACACTGGTCACAGGCGCTTGAGAGCAGGGCCAAGATTAGAACCAGTGTTGCAAGAGTAATGTTCAACAGTGATAGCCAAGTGGGAACAAAGACCAGAGGGTCAAGGATGCAGGTGGCACCGTGACAAGCTGTGAGTCAGGTCACTAGCAGAGCTCTAGGGGCGAGTGCTTGCCAGTTCATCTGAGGCTTCCTGGGACTCCCCGAGCTGGGCAGGAAGGAGGCCTCTTCTTCTGGATGGGCCCAGGGGCCTAAAGTGAGTCCAGGCTGTTCAGCAGCTGTGTTTGGGGAGGGCAGTCCCTGTTGCCAGACCGTAGCAGCAGTTCCCCAGACACATTCAAATCCCTGGTGTCACTCTGTGTCTGAGGACTTGGGGTTCATAAGTGACTCAAATGGGCAAGCTTATAGATCCACAATTCAACCGATGAAGTCGAGGTCCACTTTCTCAGAGGAGGCGGGTCCAGAGGGTAAAACAGGCGGTGTTGATGACAGACTCCAAGTGGTGGTAGGTAGAGACCAGCTGGGCCGGGGGGCTCTCGCTGTCCTGGGGCTGCACCGGGAAGGGCTCTCGGAAAACCACCGTCAGAGACTGTGGGGAAAGACAGGTGGAATGGTGAGAGGGCACGTGGGAAGGACAAGAGAGCTGGCGGCTGAAGGGCGGCAGCCCACTCTGAGAAGGCTGAGGGGAGTACTTGGGCACAGCCTCCAGGAAGTCCCTCGTCCTTTGTCCTCACCGTCTTTCCCAAGTGTGAGTCCAGAAACACTAACACAAAGCAGTCGGTGAACTTCTGATTCAGCACAACCTGAAGCACCAGATAAAGAGAAGAGGGAGTGAGGCCCGTCTCAGCCGCGTGGGTGTGCACCCTCCTGCAGGGCTTCTCACAGAGGCAGGAGGGGGAGGCCTCCTTTTGTCACATGCTGATCCTATCTGCGAGCCTGGGTCACTCAGGATGGTGTTGCCACACTGGGCCTCAACCTGTCTGTCGGAGCCCTGTCACAATCTTCTAGAGGACATGGCAGGGAAGCCAGTCAACGAAGCGTAGTTCTAGACCTTTGGCATGACCCCTCCAGCCAGTTCTAGGTCTCCTATCGCCTCCTGACGTCAGCCGCTTCCGAGCACTCAGCTCTGGATCTACCACTGGGTGATTTCTCCTTGGGGCTGCTGTACCACCTACTAATCTCTCTCGTGATCCCAGATGTCCACATTCCTCACGGATGAGACTCGACCTGCCCCAAGAGCTCATCGCCCTCCTCTGTCCCGCTCCAGCTCCAGTGCCCCCACCACTGGTACCCCCCGTGCCTCTGTGTTGCCCTGCTGTAGCGCGGGCTTCTCTGGCTGACCTGTGGTATACCAGAGACAAATCCTGTTCCAGGCTCACGCCTCTCACTCGCGGTCTTCCTACCCACAGCTGTGCCCACCTCTACTCTTTCTAGTTTCCCATGCACATTCTCAGCCCTGGAGCTTTCTGCTTCCTGTCCGTCACAGCTGTGCCTTCACGTCAGCATGCACAGACCTTCTGAGGATAGTGCTAAGACACAGACCCCAAGACAGTGGTGGAGGGCGAGCATCTGCTGAGTGCCACATTGGAGTAGGCAGCAACCCAGAGCCTTGTCCAGGATCTCAAGCCAAGGCATGGCACTTCCCAGCAATCATGCACTCAGGCTCACTACCCACTGCTCAAAGGCTTTACAGGCCATCAGTGTGGTCAAACTCCAGCAAGACATCAATGGAAGGCAGAGTTTGTTTGGTAAGCCTGGGCTCCTGAATGGTTCTGGAGTGTAAGGTGAGGATTTCTGCTGGTTTTCCCTTTGAGTGGGGCCAATGGGACTCACCAGGTACTGGGTTCCTAAGTCCGGGCTCTGGAAATGGCGGCAGCTTTGGGGGAATCGGCTCAGGAGAACCTTGATGAGGCTCTGGTACCAGGAGACCGTCATAGACAGGAAGCAGTCCTGAGGGGGGGCCACAACCCTGAGCCTACCACTCCAGAGTCACCCACGATGCATCCCTCCCACCCAGCCACCTAGGGAGCTGCTGGAAGCAATGCTGGCCCTTGTGGAGTCAGGTCTCTTACCAGTTGGGGGTCAATGTCTGCAATGGACTTGGCGTGGACTGCCTCCAGGAGCTCCTCCAGCTCTGCCAGGGCCAGGCGCCCCCCTAACCTTAGCCGGTCAGGGCCTGGTGGCTCCAGCAAGAAGAGGCGCTTCCAGAGGGTATCCCGCCGGCAGTGCCCACCAGCCAACCTAACCAGCTGAGCCAGCCGTGCCCGGGCCATACCCACTTCTGTGGCCAGTGGTGGGAATAGAGGAGCTGGTCCTGGGGCCAACATAGTCCCTGATGCTTCCCCAGGGCTACCAACCAAGCTCCCAGGAGCCTCTGGCTCAGGAGGAAGCCTGGATGGTTTCCGGAATCTGCGCATGTCAGCAGTGAGTCTTGGGAAGAGTTCTCGTTGGCTGGTAAGCACCACAAAGAACTGAAGCCTGGGGAAGGGAAGGGGCAGGAGAGTGGGAGAGTGTCACAGCAACAGACTTATGGGTAGGAGTAGAGGGCAATCTGAGAAATGGGTACATTTGCGGTAAGAGATCTGACCTCAGAACATGTCGCTCAGCTTCTCCTTGCTCCTCAAAGGGTGCAGCAGAGTGACAGACAAGCAGAGACACATCAAAGTCATCCTGATGGCGAAGTCCCTCAGAGTCCAGATAGGAGCCAGAGCTGTGTAGTTGGGGTGGGGGAGATGTCAACTCCGAGACTAATGAAGCCAGCCCCAAGCCTTGTGCTCAAGAAAACACCCATCTTCCTACTCCAAGTATGCCCCAGCCTAGGCCTAGCGGGTGCATGTTGGAAGCTGCCTCCCAGCCTTACTCACCTGTGCCATGCTGACACCAGGGCATATTCGTTATGTTCTGGACCACCGGGCCGGGCCATCCGCAATGGCTTCATGTGGTAAGAACTGGCGTGGTCGGCCACATAGTTGTACAGCTGGTGGGCAGCGATGAGGGGGGTGGGGAGCTCCAGGGTCCCTGTGAGACAAGTTCCGGGAAAAACAGACACTAAGTCTGGCCGGCCAGGGGATGGGAATACTACGGTTTTGCTTCCCTGGGGAGCTCCCAAGCTCCTGTGGAATGCTGTGGAGATGGGGTCAAATGCTCAGAACAGAGGGCAGGGTAACACAGGATCGAGGGCCTTAATTCTGGTATGAAACCAACCGTGAAAAACTTCAGACAGTCAAAGACCGAAAGCATGCACATGGTACAAGGAAAAGGAGCAATTCGTGGTCTTACCAGACCAGGCCTGGCCCTGTGGCTGTTTTATTTTAGCCTGACTGGCTTGCCCTTGGGCACTGACCTTGGTAAATGTGATTGCGGCCAAAGTGGGGTCCATCAGGGTGATGGGCCAGGAAATGCTGCAGGAAGGTAGTGAGGTGGTATCCATGCCGCAGTGCCAAGTGGGCACCGAGCACGTGCTGGTGCACCAGGCGCAGGTGGAAGTCATAGCTGAAGGAGTGCACGTGCATCAGGTCACGGACCTTGTCACACTCCTCTGTGAACAGCATGGACAGCTGGGGAGGAACAGCAGGAGGTGGGCTGAGGGTGTGGGGATACAGGCTGCCCAATCCATCCTGGGCAGAGGAAGTTCGGCAGCGCTTCCTGTTGCTGTGGGCCCACAGAACTCCTTCAGCCAGCCAGGTTCTATGGGGAACCTTCCCCTTCCACTTGGTAATACTGTACTGTACCTCCCTGTTTCTATGGAACTGGGGCCATTTGGGCAGCTGAATTCGAGTCTGGCACAGATCCAACAATGAGCAGAAACTGGCTGACTGTCTACCATGTATTTACCAGTGACCACTCAGAAATGCAGAGAGCAGACACAATCCCTTGCCTTCAAGCAGCCCAGTCTAGTAGTTGGATGTGGGACAACAGCTGCTGTGTGGACAGAATGGGTAATGACAAAGCACTAGAAGATAAATACAGAAGATCAGGTGGAGGGCAAGGAAGGCCGGCTGGCCACCTATCAGAAGGCTTTCACCTGCCTTTCCCAAGGACAGGACACTCTTCTCTGCACTCCGTACCTACATGCCCTCTGTCTGGAATGCCCGACACTGAGCATAACTCCTGCTCTTCACCGCAAAGCTTCCTCCAGACACCCAGAGCCAGGCCAGGGTAGGCCTCCTTTGAGGCCGTGTGACTAGCTGGCTGAATGGGCTGATGGAGGAAGGAAGACAGGAAAGAGGCGGAAGGAAGGAATAAGCCCTTCTTGATGGAGCGCTCCACATCAGTGTTAACAACGGGGTGCGCTGCTGGAACGGCAGACTCCATCTGGCCACCCTTGGGAGCATTAGCAGTTGACAGGAAAGCAAACCAATACTCGAAGAGCCAGATTAGCTGTATGGCCTTGGTAAACCAGTCTCTCTAGGCTTCAGCGTCCTGACCTACCTTGGAGATAATGCACAGATCCCAGTCAGGGGCCGTGTGACGAACCGAAACAGACCAGGGTGAGATCAGCGTACAGAAACCAGATTTCAACCAAGTCTGCCACTGACGAGCTGTGCGTCCAGGACAAAAGTTCTCAATTTCTGCGGCCTTCAGGCTCACCACCTGCCTAGGAGTAAACTACTTCTTTCCTCTCCTACCCGGAGTGGGCAGTGACCGAACATGGGCATCCTAAAGCAGTCGAGACACTTGTGCAGGGTCATTCTTCCTTCCCTCCCGGCCTGGGAGTCCTGGCACTCGGGAGTGGAGATAGGAGGGTAAGGAGTACAGAGTGAGCCGGGACAGCCTGGGCTACGTTAGACCTTTCTCA